GTCAGCCTGAGAGACAAGGACACTGAGGAAGACAACTGAGGGCTGAGGGACCAAAGGTACTGCTCGAACAGGTGAGTCTCCTGATGGCAGGGCTCTCAGGGTAGACAAGCAAACTGTGGAAGTGGGAGAACAGAGAGGAAATGCAAAGAGTCTGGAGGAGGATAAGGAGCAGAGGAAGATGGACAGGGATGTAGGGAGACATCTGAGATGGGATCTGATTGAAGTCTTCAAAATGTTAATGGGAAAAAGGTAGATCCCATCTTCATTTCAAGATATATTCAGCAAATAAACTATTGCTCAAAACTGGTTGAAAGTGAAATTTCACACAAATGTATTAAAATAATATTTTTTGAGACAGTTATTAAAGCATGGCATGTGCTACCAAGAAGAGCAGGTGAGGGGAAGACACAGGTCTTTTGGGTCCGGTCTTGACGATGTGACAGATTCACTCAGTGTGTGAGAAAGTTCTGAGCTCTGATGGGCTGAATGGCCAGTTCTTGTTATCAGGTTGTGTTCTTATGTCCTTGGTTTGGTGCAATTCAGCCAATAATGAGTTGGCTTAGAGGTTTAGATCATTAAGAGCTGCATTGGAATGAATACCTGCAGCTACAGCACCGCTCATTCCAGGCCCAGGACTGGAGATCTCACTATTTCTCAAGCCAGCTTCCTCACACAGTCCAGTGAAGGAGCTGGGGAGCTTGACAATAAGTTATCCCAAAATTAGATATTTAAATCAATTATGAATTTTCTCTTACTACAGAAAAGGCAGAGGATTCAGCGTCCTGTTGTCATGGTCTAGTTATTTCATTAGAAGCCATATGATTTGCATACATTATTTTGATCTTTTACAGTATGTCCTTTGTTAGAGCAGGGGGAAAATCACACACTGAAAAGAGTTTTTTTTCCTGCTCAAGATAACTCAGAAGCAAATTCTAACGCATCACCTGTTTACGTTAAAATTATGTTCAGAAAGGTTATACTGTATTTGCTTAAGTATTGTATTTGAATAGCTTTGACAAGGTAATAAATTTGAACTTTAATTAGAAATGTGAAAAATGAGTTTTTGTTAACTTGTATAATGAAGTAGTTCCTTTCTCTGCATGATTAAATCAACCTCTAAGGCATTCTCTGTAGTCAAGAATAAATATCTTAAAACAGCACGTTTTATTTTTATAATATGACTCTACAGTAATGTAATTTCTGGAATTCAAGCAGTGGTTTGAAATACCATTTACCTCCATTAAGCATAATGTTAAAAAAAAAACAAGAATATGTGTTCCTCAATTACTTTATATTCAGTAAAACAAAAAAAATCCTCAGACATTGGAGAAAGCTCTGACATTATTTTTGGGAATTTTAAAGAACATGCTACCCTTTTTCACTTTGCACAGTGGATCTCCTCATACTTAGCTTTCAACCTCAAAGCTAGGACAAGAATTAAAAGCTCCTCCATTCCTGTGCCTCCTGTAACATAAAGATACTGGAGAGCATGGATGCAGGCAAAGCAACGGTTATTTAACTTCGCCACACATTCAGGTACTGTATGTTGCCCCTGGCATGGAAACCGAAATGTGTTTAAATATTGTAATTCGCGAGCTTACTTTGTGATTTACCAACCCCCACTCGAAAATAAATAATAAGAAATTATATGTCTACGCCTGAAAAACCGCTGAGTAACGCTGCTCTTGGAAGACGTTTATGGAACTGCCGGATTCGGCCCTCCATGGCCATCGCCGCTGCCCGCGCCTGACATTCCTGACCCTGCCCTTAGACAAACAAAATGCTGGTTTAAAACTACACAGTGTGCAGACTAGGTAAATGTGAAAAAAACCCAGCATATAAGCAGTCTTATTGATATGTTTCCTCGTGTTACCGAACATATTTAGACGTTAACGAAAGTTTGGGGAATAAACTCGGGACAGATTGAGAGGATCTACAGGCTGTTTCCTCAAACAGTAAAAAAAAATCTTTCGTATCAACGATCTTTTAAAAGGCTTTATCTTTGAGTCAGAATTTGCCAGAGGCTATTTCTCTGCCGATTAGAATTTATATTAATGTCCCGCTAGATCACACTTATGAAAATTTAATTGCACAATGCCGTGATTTAAGCCCCTTGTCGTCCGTCAAAACTCCCCCGTGAAAATGAAACCCACAGAAGGCGCGCGCTCAGCCGTGCACTGCGGGCCCGCTGTCCGCAGTGTCGCACGTGCCCGTGGAGAACACAGGGCTGGACACTGGACACGGCCGTCCGCTTGCACACACCACCCTGCCCACTGTCACTCAGTGCGTTCAAGGTCACACGCTGGGAAGACCTACAAAATAATCGACAAGCTACCCTTCCCTTACAATGCACTTCAAAACTCAAAAACATTCGCTTTTGAGCCAGAGCATTTGGCAAAATAAAAGTAAAACACTGTAAAAATAATACGAACGTCCGGCTAAATAGCACATGTATCACAGATTCCTGTTTTGTTTTATTTTATTTTATTTTTTGCTCTCTCTCTCTCTAATTCATACACTTCTGAGATCCTCCGCCCAAACTACTCGATTCGCTCACGCCCCGCTGGGAGCTGTCCAGCCCACAGGGTGCTGAGAAGCGCGGGGTCTTAGTTTTACCCAGCAGCGGCAAGTGTGTCAAAATCGAACTTCAATCATTATTGGCCGAGGCACCTCTCTGATCAGAGCGAACAGGGGTTATCCATCTCTGAGAATCGACACTGACCCCCAGAACGGATTTTTAACTGCTTAAGGTCTCTCTGACTTCGCCATACAGCCGAAGATTAAAATCAGTAATATTTTCTAAATCCAATTTTTGCCAGCGCTCATGCAAGTGCTCCACAATTGCATACAAAGCTACCAGCCTCCCCTCTAGTGGTCTGCAGGAGTGTGTGAGAGAGAAAGAGCACATAGCATTTCTGTCGTCCTCCCAAACATTCGTGTGAAAGTTTTGTCAAAGCAAAGCTTTTAAGCTTTAGAAGTTGTCCATTAAAAACGCGATGTGTTTTGCTTTCAACACACTGCCTCAACACATACACAATACATTTAACATGGTAGTTAATTCGATAAAACCACTACTTTAACTCTATGGGAATCGAGTGAATTCAGTACAAAGCAGAAAAGGTTGTCATGGTATCCACGTTCTTGGCTATTCTGAGCAAAGAAACAACACTGAATCTTTTTTTTCTAAGCAAAATGGCTTTTTCTGGGGTTACTCCTTAACTAACAAATAACCCGCAAACAAATCAGAATCGCTGATAGTTCTCAGAATTCTCTAGCAATGTTTTACAGATAATCATGATTCAATATTAAAATACAAAAAATCTCAGACTTGTCCTTTTTGGAGATTCTGTTAGGGAAAAATAAAAATATTGAAGATCGAAATGATACGATAGAGGAATTTGAAAACTGAGAAGATATTATAAGAAATCCATTAGTGTCTACCTTGTCAGTATAGCCTTAATTTACTGTACGGGCTGTGCTACAATCGATATTATCAAACTTTTTTTTTAAGTTCAAATATTTCAGAATGGCGAAAAGAAGAACAGAAGTCACAGTGCATGATAAATTACCCGATTTCTTTTTTTTTTTGCGCAGCACATGTTAATCCAACATTTTAGGGGCAACTTAATCGAAAAGGAATCCCTGCTCAGAGAAGGAACGAATTGACCCGAGACACGACGAGCTAAAACTAAAGGCTTGTCTAGAGAGAAAAGCCTTCTTGTAAGTAAAAGTGTGTCATCACTGCTCGCGTTCTATTTTTAATAAGCCACTATTTATAGGTTCCGAACTCGCCTCCTTAAGGATTTGTGTATATCTGGGCTTCCGCTCTTTCTGCTTGTTTTGATGTTACCTGGGTCCAATGCTGATGATCTAACAGGTTATTTAACAAACTGAATCCCACCGGAAATATGGGGACATGAAAACCAAGCCTCAGGGGATATGCGTCCCCGTTTGATTTACAAAACGTTATTTACCGTGAATGAATATGTTAACCACTTTGCTGCCGAGGCGATTTTTTGAGAAAGACATCAGTGCAGTTTCACAACCCTGCTACAGTACGTGTCCTGTCCTACCCAGTCCCCACGTCCCCCTTATTAAGAATCACAACAACGTTCTACAAATGTTTGCTTGACAAGCCACGGCAGGAATCTGCTCAAACATTAAACCCGGCGTGCACTTTCAGATAAGAGGCCCATTTGAAACGTTGAATAAGGTGCAGTGCATCTACAATGGAAGTGTCTCTGCCATCGTCATCGCTCCCAGAGGACGCTTCTTTTATCCTGTACACGGCACCTTTCACATACTACAGATGGCAAACGTTGTGACTAAATTCCTTTAAAGTTGCTGCCAGGAATACAAAGCAACCACACTCAAGCCTTTCCCTTGGGAAGCAACGAAATGCAGTCTCTTCTCGAGGCACGACTGCCTTCGAAGGTATATTCGCTCCGTCTCACCAGCGTGGTGTTTATCAAACAAATGTCTGGGAACATTGTACATGACATGCCAGCGTATGTAAGAATATGTACATTCATTATAAATATTTTTTGACACGTCCACAACTACAGACCCCTATATCTGCTTTCCCGGAAAATGAACAACTGTAGTCCACGGAGCGCTATTTCAACTATTTCCACAACAGGTTTGTTCATCTCCCCAGGAGCCAAACAGGGCCAGCAGCTGCCCGTCTATCGCTGGGGCGACTTACTGTCAGCATCTACAAGTTACTCAAATAATAGAATCGACAGAGAACACAACAAAACAAAACCAGTTCCTCGCAGGTTAGCGTATGTGGGTAAGGAAACAGCTGGCGAACAGGACTGTTTTACGTGACATGAGGGTAAAAAGACGCTCATTAATACAAATTAAGAAGGTGTACACAGCCGACGTTGCAGCAAAAGTAAAAAGCAGCTTAAAACAGTTTATTTTGTGAAAGGAAGTGCTGCTTCAATTACACATAGTGTAGCTTCTCGCCGTGTGACATTTACTTTCCGAGCACTTACATGGAGGTGATGTTCTTGAACATGTCAGGAATGCTGTTGCTGCTGTTGCCGCTGTTCCCGGTCTCCGGCACTTCCAGCAAAGGGAAGAATTTCCCGTTGTCGGACTTATTGCAGTAGATCTCGGTTAGCGAGCAGCTGCAGGTGGGGGGGCAGTCCAGCATGGAACTCAGATAGTCTTGGAAGATGCTCAAGAGAAACAAAACCCTCCACCAGCAGATTCGGGGCGGACAGAGCGATAGATCCATGATTCCAGGTCCCGTGCAGAGTCGGTGCCGTCCTGGGATTGTGTGGAAATGTGCGTATCCTTGTATATGCAGGCTGTGTGTGTGTGTATATATATATGTTTGTATGTGTGTGTGTCTTAACGAGTGTGATTGTATGTCAAAGTATTGAGAATGCCGTAGTGTCCAAATATTCTCAAAAAGATCAAGAAAAAAAAAAGAGGAAAAAAATACTCCGTTAGAAGCGAAGGGGCTGAAGAATCAGTACTCCCGGTCTGTGGTTTTCTCCGGACTGCATGATATACCAGATAAACCGTGTTCGTCTGCTGCGCCGTGAAGCGGCTGGGTCCCAGGTTCTCGCACAGCTCTGGGACTTACAGGGATAGCAGGAGAGAGAATGAGGGGGAAAGGAGAAGTCTGTGCTCCGAGCATCAAGTCCCACCTACTGGGCAGAATTAAAACTGACACACCTGCAAAGCAGAGAAGAGATCAAATCAGATCGCAGACGCCAGGAAGCATTACAAAATAGCCGCGGAAAAAAACATCCCTCCACCTCCAAACACACATTTTTTTCCTCGCGAATGCTGCTCACGAGTTCTGACGAAAACCTTGTTATTTCTTTCTTTTATTTGTTAAACGCATGGCATCCAAATTCCTGCTGCGGCGTCTCTAGCAAATTGCTCCATGGGCAATCAAGAACGCTCGTCTCGACCTACTGTACCAAATAAAGCCGGAGAGTTACCAGGGATGTGAGAGAAGCCCGGGTTTGACGATTTCTGGGGATTTTCGTTGGCGTTCTTACTTTCGGGGTGCGGTTTGTGGATCATTCTCACGTTTCAGTAAACCTTTCTGTGAGCAAGTATGGTAAAACGGCAGAGATACCGTACTTCTCCAACCCGCAGAGCCATAATAATAATAATAATTATAATAATAATTACTAAAACACTTACTGTAATACTGCTATACAGTGTCGCTGCTACAGTAGGTAATGTGTATATCCTAGTGGTCAAGTTCTCTAAAAAACGAAGTCTTTCTTTTTTTATCAGCAATTAATGTAAATAACGTGGTCAACGCGCCATCAAAAGAGAAAAAAACTCGACTAAACCCAGCGTTCACCCTGCTTACGTGAAACAAAAATAAACATACTGTAGTTACAAACATGTAGGATGGTTGTGTTTGATACTGTATACCTAAACAGGAGTAACCCAGATGATCCAAAACCAGAAAAAGGCCGCCACAAACTGTATCGGTTTTAGACAGCAAGCAGCAACAAAAACTGGCTCTTATTTAATTTGTTTTTATTTATATATACAGTATACTGTATATCTGGAAGAATCGTACCGTACTGCTCACTTATTTTTTTATTTAATAGCTTCAGGGGAAAAGTGAGGATTTCTCCTACACATCAAAATGTTTTTACCTTAAAAACAAAACTGAAGTTAAAAGTGAAAACGGAACGATTTCAGTGGAGTGGGGTCATTCAGAACATCTGGCCCTTTTTCTAGGAACATCACTCTTGGTAACGATTTACCTGCTGTTATGTTTTGAATGCACATCAATTAGAAGTCGTAGTGCAACGACTTTCAATTAGCTTTTTGTATCAAGGAGTATCAATAAAATTACCTAGTAGCAGTTTAAAGCACGCTACTTACCCCCACAGTATCACACACACACACACATCTATAGAGACCTGTGGTTATTCATTTAAGTGGATTTATCCGAAATGGTACACAAATAACAGGTTACGGTCATTTACAAGCACTGAAATTCTCCAGGTAAAATTATTCAATTGACACTGTCGACGTGAGGTAAATGAAGTATCAGATTGCAGACTAGAACTGGGAATGCCCACTGAGTTACTAAGAGGGCACTAAAATGACACAGGCTCTGTTCGTCTACCAACACATTTTTACATTTTCCTGTGAAGTGGTCTTTCATTTAAGAATGTCACTGTTGCAGATGGCTGGATTATCCGTCGCACTGTGAGGCGAATCCGCTTTCCTGAAAGCAGTTCACGGTACGTGGAGTATACCTAATACGCATCATCGTTGTAACGTGATGTCATTTGCCGACGCTTTCTGAGCTGAATATTTTCAATGTAATCTATCTCCTTCTTGACCTCATTCTCCTCTGTGAAGCCGCTCCTTCTGAAAGAGTTTACTCTTTACCACGTCGTTTTGTTATCCGAACGAATTTATGCAAGTCGGTTTAATTTACGGCTGCAAGCGGTTTGTTTTAAGTCGCTTGTAGATAATATAAATACAGTGTATAAAAAACTTTAGGTTGTGGTAAGTAATGTGAAAGGGTCTGGAAATTGGTAAAAAGAAAAATACATTAATGTGAAAATGGTTATCTTTGGCATTCTTTTGAAAGTAGTACATGGTTGCTTTTAAATGCATATGAACTGTTCTTTTTGTTTAAACCTCTTATTGTAAACCCTTGAAGCTGCCTGAGTCAATCTGATAGCCAGTGATAGCTGATAGCTAGTGAGTTCAGCAACTCACTAGAAGAGTGTGAATCTAAAATCATTAGGTTACTTAAATCTTCTTTTGATGAGCACAGCATGCTGAGGAATGCCTGGTATTCTACGACATCACAGTCCTCTGAAATCGTGCATCATACTGGACAGTCATTCTCACTATTCTGGACAGGATGGGTTACTTGTATCGATCCTACCATTCTGCAGTATTTTGCAAAGTCAATGTGTATTATTTAAGGTTTTTTACCCAGAAATATTCGGCTCCTTAAACTCCAAAGGAAATCATAATGCTGTAAATTGCTGCAATAATACTGTACAAGAGAGCCAAGCCTCTTAGACACAGCAACAATAAAACCACAGTATTGCTCCCTCTGGTAGATATGTGCAGAGGAAAATGCCAAATCAGGTGTATGGAGTTATTACTGTCCTAATCCAAGGATATAACATTGCATTTTTACACAGGCTTAAACGAGGATGAAGCATAATGAACTTCTTAAGGGGTAGGGGGATGGGAAGGTAGGGGTGTAGTGACAGAACATACGGGTGAAAAGAGCTGATGATCCCATGGCCAGATAAGAATTCCTATGAGAATCTTTCCGAAGGCCTCGGAGGACAGGTTGTTTCCCTGCCTGTTCTTCATGCTGACACAGCAGGGCTCGGCCTTCTTTAGCATTTGTGTTTTTTAAATGGAAAGGCACAGAGCACAAAGGCAGCGTGGCCCTAGATCCACACACACAGTGGCTTTAAACAGCTGCGGAATGAATGCAATTTGAGTTACAAAAGGCAGCATGTTGGCAATGTTATTGTCCTCGTTTTTAAGAAACCTTGCTTCTCATATTTTCAGTGCAATTGTACTTCAGGCCTTGGAAACAGGATATTATAGTAGCCAAGCAGGATATGGGGGTTTGTCTCTAATGTCGTACATGGCTCAGATGAACTACAGAGATGTCAAATCTTCACCCTTCCAGTTAGCCTCACAGCACTGGGGTTCGATTCACAGGGGTGCTGTCAGCGTGGAGTTTGTGTGTTCTCCGCAGCTTCAAGTGGGTCTCCTCTGAGCGCTCTGGTTTCCTCCTACAGTCCACATGCTGGTAGGCTAATTGGCTCCTGGTGTGGGTGTGTGCCTGTTTCTGTCTGTGTGTGCCCTGCAGTGGATGAGCAGCCCATCCAGAGTGTACCCCGACTTGCACCCGTTGCTTGCCTGGATAGGCTCCGGCTCCCCCGTGACCCCCGATTGAATGAAGCTGTGAGAAGATGGCTGGATGGTTGGATGATCAGTCAATTTTATTTAAAGCTATTGACACATCTAGATGGTGCCTTGGCACAAATTCTGCTAGTTAGCACCTTGTTGTGAATCTGAAGGGTGATCGACAGGGAGGTGAGGTTCAGGAAGCTGCTCAGTCAGAAAGTAAGGTCTTGAATCTTTATCCTTCACTGGAACCCTGATATCTAAATATCTGCGGCCCTCGGCATGAAAATGTTCATTTCAAATATGTTCAGAAAAGTTATTTGATGTGGTATTGGTTTCCAAGTACACTTTTGACCGCCCTCCAAATGTAAATGCACGTCAATAATGGATTGATTTTCAAGAATTTTCAAGAATTTTTAACATTTGACAAATTAGACACGGAAAATCAGACAGGATAAATATTTTATTTTTATTCATGTTGACATTTTCTCTGTAGCAGGGCGAAAAACTTTCATCCAAGTAGTTATTCGGGTGCTTCGAGTCCCGGGTGCTGACGTGGTGTGGTCAGTGGAGCGTCCTCACTGCTCCTGGGTCCTGGGTTCGGCTCTGGGCCGAGAAGCCTCCTGTATGAATTGACACGTTCTCCCCATGCTGTTGTGGGAGATTTGCCAGGTACAGCAGAATCTTTCATCGGCCTTCTAACTGTGTTATTTAGTGTCTCTATAATGGGAGTGAGAGTGAGAGTGAGAGTGGTCCAGAGTCTAGAGAGTCCTGCTCTGGACTGGCATCTCGTCTAGGGTGTGGTGTCCCTTGTGGTTCTGGGACACTGCAGCCTTCGCTGGGAACAAGAGACTTTCTGATAACGGACTCACGGTCGGATTTTCTAACCCCTTTATTCTTACAGTGCTTATATAAATTATGATATATAGTAGAGATAGAAATCTCAATATGAACTAGTATACAGCATGCGTGATGCTATGATAGTATAATGCTTCCTCGGGAATCTGTTGTCCAGCTTGATTTGTTGTATAATCAGTGTCACGACCACCAGCCAGCGGAGATCATCCCACAAAAGAAGTAACCAGTACCAGCAGCCACATGTGTTAATCCATCAGCACACGCTCTACCGTGCGGCGAGCAGCACTATTTAAACCATCCTAACCCGCTTCCCGCTGCTCGCTATTGAGTCTGCTCATTGAGAGCTCTACCTGGCGTTTATTCTGTGCCTCGCATTCTTCTGGACTTCCCTTTAGCCTTTCGACTTTGGACCTCGCCTCTCGTCTCGGACTGTTTGCCTCCTGTGTTCTCTAAGGATTACGACCTAGCTTGCCCCTTTTGACCACGACCTTGCCTCTTGCTTCGGATTGTTTGCTTCAGTCGTACTTCCTGGATTCTGAATTGCCTTTTTCCTCTGGACCACGAATTTGCCTTAGGTATTGGATTGTTCGCCTGCCTTGTCATCTACCTACTCCGGCGTCTGCACAGGATCTGTATACCTTTTCATTGAGGATTCCTGACAATCAGAGGTGCTGCTCATTTTCCTCCAAAGAGTCTGGTGCGAAGAGATAATGTCTTAATCATTGTTAACATGTAATTCGTTCTTGACTTCTTCATGGGAGAAACAAACATATAAATTAACATCTCATTTCAATTCCATAACTGCCTATTTCAGTGGCCTCTGCTGAATCAATAGTACACATGCAATCATTTGTGCATTACTACAGTAGAAAAAGGGGCTGTGCCCATGAGCAGTCTATTAATCACAGAGAGAAAAAAAACATAATTAAATTACACAGACGCTGACACAAAAAACCTCAACTTAATATCCATGTCATCATTACAGCAAAGTGTTTTCTTTAATTCTTCCTTTTGCAAGATCTTTAGAATAACATACTTCTGTAGCAACAACAAAGAAGTTATTAGCACACCACAGTTACAAAACTCCAAATGAGAGCCAACTTAACAATGCCTATTAAATTACTTTATTAAACAATCTTTACAGAGAATTTACAAAGAATATACTGTACAGTCTAACAGTCAATGAGAAACGTACTTGAGGACTACTGTTCTATACAATCTGTAATTCTATCTTCCTTGTTTATTCCAACATTATCTTGTCATTTTATATAAAACTATGCTGTCAGAAGAATGTTTGTCTTCTGATGCATACTAATTCTGTCTGTATTTCTGTTATAAAAAACAAAACATTCTTTGGGAAATCACTATGTATTTCACAAATCTGCATAAAGTACATGAAATCTCAAGGGCCTGGTATGAAATAATGAATTTACAGTAATGTCTCCTTCTATATTCTTTCTTGTTTCTCTTGACTTGATCTGTGATATCAAGCACCAAAAACAAAAAACATCCTACTGGTATAATAAGCACAAAAATTGATTTTTCGAAATCCTAAACTAAATAAGGAGGGAAATCAATTAGCTTAGTTAAAGAAAAAATATGCAATGCTCTTGGGATGTAACACTAAATGACTTCTGTCCATATTTTAGAAACATCACTTGTTATGCACTTCAAACATAAGTGCTGCAGTCAATGTGTCGTGAAGTAATATTCACATAAAAATGAAAGGTGGTTGTCATAAGACCAGGGAGCAGGGAAAAAAAGCACACTTGTTGAAATTCAATTTAAGGTTCCCAGTATCTGACTGCACCGTCCTTGGAGGAAATTGAAACCGTTTCTTCTTTTCAGGAACAAAAAGCCAGCAGAACATGCTCTGCAGTAAGGCATGGCCGATTTCCCTGTTTCCCATCTTTGTACACTTGGCTACAGGGAATTCTCCTGTTAATCTGCTGTTAAACATTTAATAAATGGCAGAGCCACACAGAAAAGAAACAGACACCCACACACTGAGACACAGGCAGAGAGACAGCCCAGACCGTGACTGCTGGCATTCTGCAACTCCAGAGAGAGAGGGGGAGAGGCCAGGCTAAAAGAAAGAGGTTCATTCTCAGGGGCTCTGGAGACAAAAATGGTCAAAAGGAAAAAAAATGAAAGAAGAATTGGTGCAGTTCAAGATCGACAGAGTGGAGGTGATAAATGACAAATAAGGTTTTCTTGCAAATGCCTGGACCCCGAGGAAAAAGGAGGAAAGACTGAATATTAAAGGTAAAACAGGAAAATACATTCTGAATCCCGAGAGACACATCAAACACTGGGCTAGTCCTAGCAGTATAATGGGTTTTATGCCTATTTTTTTATCATTAAATGCCCCACTCACTAAAAATGCAAGATTATAAGAATAATGCTAGAGAATAAAAAATGTTACAAATAAGAAGGGCCATTTAGCCTTTCATGCTCCTTCTACTGCAAAATATGCAGTTGCTTCTTGGAAAATTCCAGAATGTTAATTTCAACTGCATTGCTGGGTAATGTAGTTGAAGTATGAAACTATGAAGTTACTGTTTTTAGTCCTAACTGCATTGCCTGTCCATTTCCATACTTTACCCAATATCTGCTTTTCATTGATAAGCTTAACATAGTCTCTAGAGTTGACTCCAAGTCCCTCTTCTTTGAATTATTTTGTTTTATTAGCTTTAGCGGGTGCTCTTGTCTGAACTCACAGAGGATTAAAAATAACAACAGTTCATGTAACAGCAATAATATTACAATGGCACAAAGTCAAACATCCAAATTCAAACTATTACCAGTATCATCAAGTAAAATGAGCAATATGTCAAAGTATAGAATCAATGTTCCTCACATGGGAAAAAGACAATCCACCAGTCAGGACCTGTGTGTGCCTAAAGGAGATCGGGAACACCAAGTAAAGTTGGGAACACCTCAGGTGTTGTCTGGAGAGGTGTCTCAGAACACGACGTGAACTCTGCTGTTCCATCATGAGCATGCAAGAAGAATCTCTCTACTCTTTTCCTGTCCTTGTTTGAATAATTGGAAGCAATATCCTCAATGTTATTGTAGGATTAGATTAACAATTACATTGCGTTTCTCTTTACACAGGCAACAAGAGGACCTCGTATTTATGTCATGGTAATTACATCATCTGAATATCATGAAGGAGAAGTACCTCACTGTTACTTCACATGTAAATGCTGATGTGTGGCAAGGGATGGCCGTGCTGTAGGGACAAGGCACGTGACATCATTTAGGGTCATTGTGGAACGTCATCCTAAATTTGTGGAAAGAAGTTCCTATCATTGCCTTATGCAAATACTTTTAACTCTATCATTACTCTGTGCCATGTCTGCAGACCCGAAGACTCTACCTCCATTTCACTCCCAGGAATCTATGATACAGAATCGTCATCCATTTATTCTCATCTTTCTCTCTCACCTTATACCTCTTATCTAATTATATGAAGACTCCAGAGGGAGGTCCACTGCAACATTAACGTGCACATTAACTTGCGCGACTCAAAGAGGAAGTGAGGAATCGCATTGCTGGCATATTTTTTAAACGTCCGTAATTTCAATCAGTTGTTTTGTATGGGAGAGTTGGTTTCTTATTTTAGAAATGCAATTGTACTAGAACATCAGCTTGATGCAAAGGAACAAACGACTATTGCTCGGTAAATTATTTACGGCGACTTGCTGCGGACGCTATACAGTGCGATCCAGTGCCGGTCAACGGCTCGGCCATTGCTGCAGGTACGCAGTCCCGTACTGTACCTGAGCACACACTCGGCGAGATCAGCACCTTGGACAGAGCTAAGAGGAGACTGCTGTGGAATCGCAAAGAAATCGAAACCGTGCTGCCACGAAGTGAGTAACGGTCTCCAACGGGGGCATTTCGTGCTGAATAAGAGCACAGTTAGCCCCTCGGGAGTGGGATGAACCCACAGCTATGGAGGGGAGCCCATCAAGCTGGTGTTCGGGGCGACGTTCAAGCGGTTTCTAAAAGATGTGGCGTATCTTTTGTCCTCACTGCGTGCACCGGGCTGGCCTGTAGTAATCCCAAGGCAGGACTGAAGGTCTAGGAGTGGGGCTTCTGAAAATCACCAAATCGACCTAGACATCAGCAACCCCAAATTCACCCTCGAACCGTGTTCGGTGAAAGCCATCACAGTTCAGCAGGGGCCACATTAATCCTTCTTAAGAACTTTAATAGACGACATGTAAAATATTAATATACAGTATGCTGTTTTTTATGCGAATTCAAACAAAAATCTTTTGTTTCCTTTGTGGACACTTTATTTTAATTGTACCATACATGTCCTTTTTGGATTAATGCGATTTATTTTTACAAGTAGATGAATTTGTGCGCTGAGACGTGCCCGTCACCGATGGATTGAGATACAATAGTCTCTCATTCATGTATACTTCGTGCTATATTAATAACAGTCAGCTAAATGTTAATACGTACTTGTGTAGGTACTGTAAATACGTCTATGTATAATAAATATGTATGTATAAAATTACGTGCATACAGCATATCCTTTGGTTTTGGTTTCTTTTATTTTGCTTAACAACTGAAAACTCAACGGCGCCATCTACAGGACTCAGTAAATTCTAAAGAAACCTATTCTTAAAAAAAGCCTTCAGCAACTACAGCTGTATCAAATAACCTGAGTAAGGGAGATCTGAACTGTGTTATATTACATCGATGATTTCTCCACCCATGTTCTTTCAATTCCTGATTATGGTCGAGTATTGATAGCTGATATTCACTGTTATCATTTCTTAATCTTGTTTAAGGATGATTTATCTGAGCCCGTAAATTCATGTCTACAGTGAAGTGGGAGTAACTGTATTTTTAAACATTTCTTCTTTGAGAAGATGTAGCCTGCAGAATGAGAATCGTGAGATGCCATTGAGACACTACACTCCAGTGTCATCACCAGGGTCATCCTTTTGTTATCATTCTCAATGTATTCTGTTACATCTGTTTTATGTCAGATTACACAATGAATTGAAAATTGTCTGATGAAATAAATCTCAATGCAAACATGCAGAAATCATATAATGTATTAAAATGCAAATCATGTTGTCATGTTTTTCCCTGGGCTGAATAAATACTGGAAATATCATCACAATATGCATATAATACTGCAAATGCAGTATTGTAAGTAACGAATTTAAACTATTATGATTTAGGCCACAAAAAACCCTAATTATTTGATATTGGCTTTTCATGACGGTCACCAAAGTCTCCCTCCTACTGTGTTAGACTAATGCATAATTTAGTTTACTATGATTTAATTACAGTGAAATATTATACAATGTTTTTCTCACTCCACAACATTTCCACAGCATTCCCACATGACAACTCTGAGTTTCTCAGTCACTTTCTTCACTGGGAATGTTAAACTGCCTTTATGCCACGTTTTAAGACCCCAGTGTCCCTCAGTTTGTGAAGGAGCGCATTAAAGCATAAAATGCAACAAAACATTTCTGTCTGCTCGTTTTTTCTTTTGCACTAGACACAGTGTGAATTGCGGTACAACAGGAGTTTAATTCGAGGCTGTGCCTACGTTTGCCATCCCCTTTGAGCTGACCCTTCTCTTGTGCTCTTGGCAGTGAGACCCAGCGTCACCAGCTGAGAAGCAGCCCTTCAGCCCCAGTGCAGCCGGCGTGTCTTGGTACCCACGCCGAACCTGAAGAGGTCGCTTTCCAAGGGTGGGAAGGCATGGGTCGGCTGAGCGGCGTGTCGAATCAGGACCATCTGTCAGCCTCACTCCAGAAAGAGTTGCGATCCATTTGCGTCCTCCAGAGAGAAACCGAATTCTCACCTCCCTTATAAAAACGATGTCATTATATTTCCAAAATATTTATTTAAGGTTAACAATATGACAAAAGACTAATATCCACAATTCATTAAGTAAAAATCATGATAATCATCCCTTACATCCAGCTGGAGGCAGATGATGACTTGAATGCTTTGCCTTCTGATAAAGCACCAGATGTTTTAAAGAAACCTAATCTAATTGATCAAAAACCTATTTGATTTACATTTTGCAAAAGAATGTGCAAAATGTGCAGAAAATGTGATCAATGTATTCTTTATAAAACCTCATAGATAATTTTATATTAAAAATCAGAGATCTCATGCCTAATAGGACAAGTTGTATGTACAGTATCCAATGGATAAAGAAATATTTTAAAATCAGATACAGTACATCACAAAAATATTGTAGAGTGCTTAGCAGCTTCCTGTCCTATGTTAACTTAGTAATATGAATGGAAGTCCTTATGGCAAAACCTATTTATATTATTTTGCTCTAACAAGCCAGTCTCCAACCACTTCTTAGAGAATTCTACATTTTGCAAGGGAACACGCTATTGAGTCAAAGCACTGAGGGATATTTTTAAGATATTCAGGATTGTGATGATTATTTCTTAACCTTTAATTTTAAATCCCAACTGTATTTATATTGGAACAACTATGTTGTATTGATCATGAAAGTATCTTTTATCACTACTTTACAGTATTATTTATCAGGATTGTACCAATCTACAGTACATTACTCCAGTGTATTCACATAACACTATTTCTGAGAATCAGCGTCGATTTGACCTCTCTGGCACAATAACACACGAGACCGAATAAAATATATTATACAAAAAAAAAACATTCTGCACGTTTTATTGGCTGCTGTAAGCATTGCTACGTGCAGTACTGGAGGTGACAGGCAGTGACAGGTGGTCAGATAGAATTGTGTAGCACGTGCACTAACCTGCAGTGGGTGCAAATTGCTTTTACTCCAGTGAGGTGCCAAGTCCAAGCCAGGCATGCTGGGTTTTGGTGTGTAGCATCTGCGATGGTGTGCTCAAATCCATGTGGCAGTATAGCGGTACATTCTCTATTGTTCCATTTACAAACGCTGTTCTATTACTGTTTCCTATTTGTATCTACTGTGTGTTCATATACATATATATATATTTTGTATGTCTGTGCAATCTTAGATTAAATTAATAACATTTAGTTTGGGACTTTGTTTGCTTAATTGCTAGTCATTGTTTTGAGAGCATGAAATCATAGCAAGGCAGTTCAAAACAAATGAGTTAACAGAAAGAAATCGGTAATATTTCCATGATATAAAAAGCATATGTTTCCTAACAATTCCAGTTATCCCTAAGAAAAGAAAACACTATGTAGGATCAAATATTTTATATATTAACCCAAAAAGTGTGAAGCACCAAACATATTTTATTCAGACAGATTTGCAGTCTCTTCCTTATTTGGAAAGTGCATTCTGGAATGTGTGTTAAGGGTGGAGAACCTAAGCTTTTTTTAATACCTCTATTAGTAGAAGCAAGATAATCATATCCAATATTAATGTTTGCTGTTTTAATAGAAATCTTTAAGCAGGAAAGGAAAGCACACCTGTGGAACAGAGTAATAGAGATTTTTAACAAAGATTTACAACAGCCGGGTCATGTAATTCCTGGGTTAGGGCATAAGGTGATTATCATTGTAGGAAAACCTACAATGGCACACTTCTGGCTGTGAGATGACAGCATTGAGCGCATTTGAGTTAGCCAGAGTATCCTTGACCTGCTGTACAGTAGTGACCCTTCAGACTCGCAGGCACCTACAGTAAACGCGTTCAGTGATGTTAATAAAATCTATCATTATTCCAGATTCTGTAAGGATTTCAGAAACATGCAGTGCACCGAATGGCTTGCAGTCCAACAGTGGGAACTCTTTCTCCTCATGTGGGGAAGTGTTCAGGACTTACTTACTTGGGGCAAATGTGTCAAGGACATGAACTACTCACAAAAGGTAAACAATGAAATTTGCAGGAGGTATTAAAGAAATTATTGATGATTCCATACAGAAACAAATACTGTATGGCTTTTGGACAGCATTGCTTACCTCCTTGTTGTTATTCTTCCTTAACTCTTAATTAGGTAACTGAGTTCATTATACACTTAACTGAACCAGCTTAACGTTCCCCTATCGTAAAGTAGGTGGTGTTTTAAAGACAATGATAAAACCTGCCAGATCTAGCCTTTGCACGAAGGCTGTCTTATATGATTCGTTTTCCACATTTTAATTTACACCAGCAGCTCAGTATCACACTTACCCTCAAACTCACAGTTCAAGTTCCCCAGCAGATAAAGAACTGGCAGAATTCCATGAGAAAAATAAAAAATAGAGTAGAATCCCTCTTAAATGAATTCTTCAATTTAAATAACACAGGTTTCTAATTTCAGCCCACAGACCTGAGCAAACTACAGCTATAAATTGCTATTGAAATCTTTCAACTAGAAAGTAGCAATAGAGCAAAGCAGAATTACCTGTGCAGACTGATCTCTCAGGAAAGCTTAATTAAAAGAGTAGACACCACATTCAATTAATTAGATAAACCACCAACATGTGCACCAAATTGGTACACTGCACTTAAATAACTGGCAATTAAACTCATTAGTTATCTGTCCATTAAATATAAATCTTGAAGGGGATTATAATGTAAAATTACATAAGATCGGAAATAATGACTTAATTCTTATAATGGCTTTACCTGATAGTATAGTAAAAATCTACTTTTCTATGAACAGAAATAAAGCTAGTTTGAACTTAAAGCAAGTTTCAAACTTTTACATTCTTTGTGCTGCTTTATGAAAGTGTAGAATCATAAATTCTAATATTTATGACTGAATAGGAGTGCTAGAATACTTTTGTAACATAATTTTAGATCATACAGACACAGCTAAAACTACCATTTAAAGCATGTGGTTACCAATTACCCGTCTGAAAATTATCTATTCAAAATCTATTGCAATACATCCCAATAAAGGCTCTTTTGTGGAATACTGATGACTTTAAAAAAATGAAATAAAATAATCTGGAGGTCATTTGAAAGAATGGGTGTTTTGATGTGTTGAAACCATTCCAAAAGACACAATTTATAGTCGTATATCATACATCATTACCTTAAGCATCTCTAATAACACTACCCTGCAGCTGGAATTACTACAGTCTGTCACATGCAAAATGCAATTGTAATGCAACTTTTAAACATGATTGATGTAAGGAAAAAAATGTTTTATAATCATTAGAGACATATGTCCCAGAGGTTGAGTTACAGTATGTATCTACTATGTGTGCAGTCACTTACAGTCTATGAATGAGTTTATAAGTAGAGTATGTACTGTAACAACACAACTCAAAAACTAAAAACAGAACCACAGATTTCTCAGATATGTTTCTTTTTGTTTTTATTTCACCAACATATTAGATTTGCTAATTCCTCATCAGCAAACTCCAGGACAGTCCACTTGGGCTTAGTCACCTAATAATATACTGTACTGTAGTTTACACTGCGTTCTGCACTACAGAGCTCAGCCTGTGCTCCAAAGCACACAGCACAACTCATCAGCACCTGCTTCAAATTACGCTCCAACTTTCAGTGAAGAAGCCCAACACGATTATTCTGGGGCACCAGCAATGAGATACTGGTGATTTGTTCAGTGTGAGCAAGCAGGAGTATTTGGAATCTTGTAAGGGGCTCATGTTCCTGCCAGGCCTGAGCACAGCATGCAGGTCCGGCACACACAGGGTCACCCTCTTACCAGCTTTGATTTACTGTCATCCTGGGGGAGGAATGGAACTCAGGATCTTTAGCTTGCCTTTAACAAGCGCAAAAGCTGTCACAGCATCACCAGACCTTTTTCTTATCTTCAGATTCTATATATTCACCTACTTTTCTCTTATGTACTGGGTTTCAATAAAACATCTTTAAAATTCTCCTAGATCTTATCCTTTCAATCCATTTGCTAGCAGCACTCAGAAGAACTCAATTAATCCGGATAGAAAGCGAACAGAAGATTTTATGAACCAAATATTTCCACTTCGGCTACAACTAGCCACTGGATACTGATAGAGATGGAAGGGAAGGTGGCTACTAATCTCCAGCCCTTTTAACTTGTCACAGACATGAACACTTAACAAAAATAAACATTCTGGTTCCCTGTCCATCTTCAGCTAGAATTTCAAACACTCTCCCACCTGCATGCCTGTCAGACAGTGGAGGCTTGGGGAGCTGCCAATCAATTTATCTCTAACTGCATCTCTCCTAGGATTTGTGCCTTGCCTGGCTGTTTCTCTTTCAATCCAAACAATTATTTTTTTTCTTTTCCATTCACTGCTCCTGTCTCCTGTGTCTTGTCTTTCTTTCTAACTCCTGCTAGCTGGCGAGTCGTGCCTTTCCCTTGATCTCCAGTGCTCACTTCACTTCCATGCCACATAGACATCTGGCCCACTCCAGCTCTGTCCTCACAGTCCCTCTGTTTGGGCTGCCTTTCATCCATTCTTAGCTCCCTGATACTGACTGTATCACCTAGTATTGTGATTCGCATTGCACTCCATCCGTTGTACTGCTGCTTTGTCTTGTGTGTATTTTGAAATGTTCAGCTTGCTAAATTGCTACACATCCATGACCGTTCACACATGGTGCCAAATGGACTCCGGTGGGGGATGAAAAGCATTTTGCAGCAGCAGTATAGTTGCACCACCGTCTGTCAATCAACGTACTGAGTATTTGAATAATCGTTCTTGTGTTCTCCGAATGCCTAAACTCAACTCCAATTACATCACAGGACACGCAGTGCAAACTGAACCGTGTTGATTCAACAGGGTCGATGTACCTATGGAGTATGTTCCAGTCTCCCACGAGTTCTTAAGTAAAGAGGTGTCTTCTCTGTTCATACCTAAAAGGTTTCTGTGACAGATGCTATCGCTGTAATCTGCCAGGTTATGGTGTTCCATTCGCAATAATAATGATCTGGGTGCCTTTATTCCTATTGCCTCTTGTACTGCAACTGCATGTACTGATGTTTCCAGAGTAGAGACTGAAGATTAAATTTTAAAAACAGGTATTTGCACAGTTGTAAGTCATTCAAATCTGTCACCTTAGAACAAAATAATTTGCACCACTAAGTCATCTCTCAAGAAAACCTAAAACAAGTATTACCAAACTGTTTTTAACTGTCTAGACATTTAAAGTGGCTGCCAACTGTGACATAAATCGTATGTTTAGTTATTGTATTTAGATTGAATACAGCCACAGTACAATTCGTTTTCTGTTCATATTTAATCATGACAGGTGGACATCACTCCTTACTACTCTCAATGTCCTGTTTTTATTTGAAAGAGTATCAATCAATTTATTCACTTATCCCATCAGATGACTAGTAACATCAACCAAATAACTTGAAAAGAAGATGTTTCACTGTGAGAAGGTGTATCATATAAGATGTCTGATTTCCTTTGAATGCTGCCTTCAGAACACAATTGTTTGTTGTCAGGTAATGTAATTGCCAGCTAGTTATGTAATGTGTTGTGATGCTGGAGATAAAACAATTACAGCTAGTCGTGAAATGTCATTACCTGTATTATTGATTTTCACATTGTAATTCCAGATACTTACAGAAGATATGCTAGCCTCAATTAGATGTTAATGCAATGTATACAGAAAATTCATGCATGGATTTCTTATCTGAATTGTAAATGATGTATAAAGATTAATTCCATACCTGTTTTAAAGGCAAACAGTTATATCAGCAAGATATACAGTAGCAAGATGTTAAAGTTATTTTCTTTGTAAGAAACCAGATGGATAGATCTAAAACACGTCAAACTGTTCTTTCTGTTTGTAATGATAAAGTAGTATGTTATTACATTGTCATAAAAGTATTACATTTGTACTATTCAGGTATTATAGCATACAAAAATAAAATAAAATATGTTTTTTCCATTTTGTTATACCATTGGCACTTCTATATCTTTATACATGAATCTTCTGCTTCAAGAGTTTTCTGTCTCTAAATTAGTCATTGTAATTGAAAATAGGGGCTAAGACATATAATATACAGAAAGAAGGAACAAACTGAATTTGGAAATATTAAAAACTTTATAATCCAAGCTCCAAAGCATAGCCAGGAAGTGCATGACCAAATGTAACTCACAGATGAATCATC